GCACATGTCTGAAGTTAAGCATGTGCTTTGGTGCTTTACTGCAGAAGGATGGTTTGAATCAGGGAGCTGAACGCACAGAACTGGGCCTGTTTATTATGTCATAATTCGCATCAGCAAACAATGCTCCTTAAAATAAATTAAAACAGACTGAGGGCCAAATTCAACTATCTGTTACCCAAGTATAATCCTGCAGTAACTCCAGTGATGATAATCGAGTTACTCCAAGCCTAATTAATATCGTGCACCAGTTTACACTGATGTAAACCAACTTACTTCACTGCAGTTACTCTTGCTCAGAATCTGAACCTTCTCCTTGACACCAGGGTAACTGAGAGCAGCGTTTGACCCAGAATGTGAATGTGGGTTACATTCCCCTCTCGGCGCACGGCACTCTCTAGTGGCAGCTGTACATGTATATCCTTGCGTACCAAGTCTTGCACTCTGACGTTTCTTCACCCGCTAACTCCAAAATGATCTCGCCACCTGGGCAAGATGATATTTTTTTTGTCCGTACATAAAAGCAACATGTTAAAACGAAACAGCTGTTTGCTTTTCTGAAGGAACAGGCTTTCAAATAAAGCAGCCACAAAGGTGTAATTACTATTAATGTTAGTGATTATTTTAAAAAACGACCATCGCTGTGAATACAGAGGACTCTGAATACAAAATGATCACAGTAACGGCCTCATCTGGAAGTTTAATCTTGTCAAGGCAGTTTATCCGTCCTGCCCTTCCTCTCACTGTCACTGCAACTTTGCACAGATGCTTGCTAAAGCAGCCCAGCACCCCCATAATAATCTGTCCACATGAGCACAAGGGAACAATATAGTTTCAGTAACAGTCTTGCATGGAAATGGAAACAGTCGAGGCTGGATTGTGTTGTTGCTATTGAGCAGTCCCCCCGTCAGATGCTATGGAGCATTAATATATTCGGGATGATGGCCTGTTGAAATGGCTAATTCTATTTAATTTTGGGCCCTGGCTCTGGCTGCGTCCTTTTCTTTCTTAGTTACTGTCAGATTCTAGATTGTAGCTTTTGACAAGACAGCGAAGGGAAAAAGGTCAGCAGTGAAATAACTGGGCAGCGCTGGCAGCGAGATGGTGGGTTGAAGCTGGTGCGCGGTGGCTGTGCTGTCGGCTTCGCTTCTCTGACTCTGATGAGGAGCTGACTGCTTGCATCCACACCTGGGAGTTGACGGGGCCAGTAGGATGCCACATCCAGCAAAACCTTTCAATCACATCTGTGTACCGAGAGCCTAATCAAAGCAATGATGCTGTCAAACAGCAGACACGGCACCTCCAATTCCACACTGATCGCCTGTTTACAGGCTGCATGTCTTGGTCACTTTCAATCAGAGGGAACAGAAAGACCTAAGTACGTTTCCCCACATAAGGAACTATAAATTTGCAGGGTCAAAAAGCATTAAGCATCAGAGAGCTGTCATAACCCAGCTAGATCAATTTGTAAATGGATGTACCAGCCAGCTCCATCTCAGACATACAACCCCCAGACTGGAACTAGTCAGAATTCAGCTAACGCCACGTAGAAGTCATTTCCTCAGCAATTTATTAAGCCACTGGCAACTCAAAAATGAAGCTGAGATCATTGCTAAATAGTAAATACACATATAATGGTAATTATTATTCATAATGAACTGGCCAAAACCTGCTGTGGTCCCTATTCAAGCAAAAGTCCCATTGACTTAGTAACACAAAACCTGGCATTATAAATAAATATTAAAATTGTCAGTAAGAATTATTAATAAGCCCCCAATTAACCACTACGCCCCCACTTTGGTGAATTTCATGCAAAATGCATGGCTGGCTCCAGGATGTGCATATTTCAGAGCCGAAAGCAAACAAGCTTCACTGTTGGTTTAAGGAAACTTCCAAAAGATCTAGAGATAGGAATTTATATGAACACATCTGTGTGTGTGTGTGTGTGTGTGTGCTAGTGCGTGTGTGTGTTAGTGAGTGTGTGTGTATCTATATATCTCACTGTCTGTACTATATCTCTCTGTGTGTGTGCATATATGAGTTAGACGTTAACGAAGATGAAGTAATAAACTGTATAAATTACACTGTGTTTAAACTAAATAACAACTGTATATTGTTGTCCAGGGATATTGATGCAGGTAAGGATGTTCCACTTTATCAAGGTTTTTGGATCCTCCAAATATTTATTAATAGGCACAGAGCTCATACAGAACCACGAGCAGTGGCCCCCCACTTCAGTGAAACGACCCTCCAGCACTGTGCAAATAACTGATTATTTTGCTGACAATTTTAAAAAGTGTTTCGGGCTGACCCAAAAATAACATTTTTCAAAATGTTCAGCAAATCAAAAAGTTAAAAAAAAATCATTTCGGCTCTAATTAAACATTTTGCTCATCTCAAAAGTCACATATATATTTCAGTTAATCTTTTAATCTATTTCCATCAGCAAAAAGAGGAAAGTTGTAGAACTAATAAAACAGGAAGGAGAACTGGGAGAAATTTTTCTTGAAATATGGCTTTAAAAAAGAGAGAGAGAGAGAGAATTTGTTCAAGAAAAATTATCAACTTTGCAAAATCTTTCATTTTTCATTAAATTTTCAAAACTGTTTTATCAAAATGTATAAAAGCATGTTATTGAAATGGTTACTGAAATTTTTCATTTGACAAAAACCAGGTTTTCAGCAAACAAACAAATCTGATAACCATTTCCATACACATTTATATTGAAAATGTTTGCAAAATAAATAAAACAAAAAATGGGTCCATTTCAAACCCTTATGAATTGAAAACAACTTTGGAATTTCATGATTTTTCACCAAGTTGTTTCCCTGTTCTTTGACCAGCTCTACCAGGACTTTTTTTTTTAATCAGTAAGCTTCCATTTCTAATAATTCATGGATAATGTCTTGTGGCAAATATTTTCTCCGCCTTTTCTCCTTTGGGAATATTCAGAAGACAGCAGAAACACCAGAGGATGTTTTAAAATGAAATATGTAATGCAGTATCCTCCAGCAATTGACATGTGGGAATGAAGACTGAACAAAAATTTCTCTTCTCTGCTATATTTACTAGATTTTCCTCAAATTACATCTTTGGTCTGGCATGCTCCAGATCAGCTTTCATACACCACTGCTATTTTGAATGTACTCATTTTTGTAATGTATAAGCAAATGAATGCAAGACAGTAGCATAAGCTCTAAATAACCATGCTGTAAATTATACCTTACAGCAAACTTATGGTGTCATTATTACTCTGCTGCAATAGTCTTCTAAATAGACAAAAACACAGCAAATTAATTGCTAACACAAACCAGAAGGGTTACATGTTCAATATACTAAACACGAAAGGCATGTCATTAGCACCAGCTCCCCTGGGGATACTTTGCATTTACCAAACACACTAGCAGTTCTTTCATTATGAATATGCAAAATGCTAACACTTTACAAACCACCAGGTATCTTGGTCTATGCAGTTCATTATTTCTGTTTCAGTAAAGCTCCGATCATCTTTCCATAAACCTGAAACATCCGTGTACGTTTTATAAAATCATCACTTTGACTGCTTGCAGTTTCTAATAAGCCAAACACTCCAATATTTCCTGAAAACTGTGACACAGGTTGCAATCTATTGGTACAGTAAGTGGGTCTTTTGTTCAGAAAATAAGCAGCACTTGGCATTGTTCAAATGAAAGGCAAGATATGAGGTGTCTTCATTATTATTTTCATTATTATCAGAGCTGGTCACCATTTTTTGAATTTTGAAATTTTGACAATATTTCAATATGCTGGAAAAAGATCAGGAAAAATGTAAACAAAATTGCCATTAAATGTTCCTATGTTAATTGACCAGTTATATTGCTGGTCAAAAATGTTTGAATTTGAAAAAATAATAAATTAAGAAACATTTTTGAAAAATGGTTCACAATCTTTTGACCTTCATAACCAGCTTAATACATTCTGGAGTCCTTAGCCAGGTATAACATCTACTGATTTCAAGGGAGATTTTTCCTGAGTAATGACTGTAGGATTTAAGCCACATGATACTATAATTTCATGCAAAGTACTTTCCAAAATCTTTTTATGATTGTAACACTTGAGCATGCCCTCTTTCTGCAAACCCTTCCTTGTGTAAATCTCTTCCCTTGATGCATACAAAATCATATCACCTTGTGCTTTACTCATGCCTAACTTTCAAGCTAAGCAAGGCTGGGCCTTCGTCAGTCTGTGGATGGGAGGCAACCAGAACTGGGCTAGTGGGAACAAGCAGCCTGAAAATGACTCAGTTAGTACAGTGATAGGTGTGGCTTCTAAGCCTAGACAGAGCAATCTTTACTCATTTGAGTAGTCCAATTTAAGTCACTAGGACTACTCATGTGAGTAAAGATTGCTTATGTATTTGAGGGCTATAAGAGCAGATCCTAATATTGTAATAAATGGCTGAAATTTTCAAAGTTGGCTCGGGGATATAGGAATCTAGGTCCCAAAATGACGTAACCACCCAAAGCCTAAATCCCTTTGCCTTTCTCTTAGAATTCAGTTCCTAAGGACCAGATCCTAAAAGCCATATAAGTGCCTAAAGATACAAACAGGCATCTAGTGGGGTTTTCAAAAGCACCTATGCAGGTGGGATGCCAATGGGAGTAAAGAGCCTAAAACCCTTTGAGGATCTGTGCCTAGGTGCCTCTCTGTAGACACCTTTGAAAATCTGGCCATGAGTTGCTTTAGAAAATGGGACTTAGCCTCCTAAGTCACTTGGGTGCTTTTGAAAACACTACCCCAATTCCTACTATTTTCAGTTCCCTTCAGTGGCTTTGAAAAGCTGAGCCTATCTCTACGTTTGTAGCTTCCTTCTTAAGCTGAGCACCGGCCTTATCTAAAGCCCAGTGGGAGACTTTCCATTGACTTCCATGGGCTTTGGATCTGGTGCTTTTGTAGGGAGCTATGAGACATTTTTGTAATTTCACTCTAATTTGCCATCTCATTTGATTTCAATATAAGCTCACCTCCTGCACAGACACTGGATGGTTCAGCTGCCAGGATCTCAATACAGGATTTCTTCAGAATCTAAGAGATGAAGATAATGGGATTTTTGATCATCGGTGTTCTTTTGGCACTTAACAAATGTGGGAAAGGGTGCATTTCTCTCACTTTCGCAATACCCCACTCACCGAATCAATAGTGCCTCTTAGAGCATAAAAGCCGCCCGTTACCGGGAAAACGTGATCAATGCTGTCAGCAATTGTTGACAGCTGCAAAGAAAGACCATCATAAATGCACAAGGCAAACAAAATTGCAGCATCTAAAACTGAGCCTATTTGCTGACAGGCAGAGCTCTGACAGGTATGGATTTATGCACTGGTAATTAAGTAAATGACCTCATCTGATGCTGTTAATGGGTGGGGAGAACCAAAAAAAAAGTCCCAAAATTACCTGAGTTTCATTAAAGTCTTTCACTCCAACACAATAAACGATAGCTCCGAGGCTTCTGGCTCTGTCAGCCTACATGAAAGACACCATTACATGCAAAGCCAGGTAAACTGGAACCAAGAGCAGATGCTCACAAGTTTGACACGAACCACTTAGTGTACGTCTACACTGCAATTAAAAACCCACTGCTGGCCATGCCAGCTGACTTGGGCTCGGGCGAAGGGCTGTTTAATTGAACGAAGGGCATTCAGGCTCAGGCTGGAGCCCGGTTTCTAGGACCCTGCAAGGTGGGAGGGTCCCACAGCTGAGGATGCAGCCTGAGCCGAAACGTCTATGCCGCAGTTAAATAGCCGCGGGAACACAAGGCCAGGTCAGCTGGTATGGGCCAGCCATGGGTGTCTAATTGCAGTGTAGACATACCCTTAGCTACTTGGGTAAACTCAATGAGGACTTACTTCTTTTTCTGCATAATAAAACTGAACCTCTTGCAACTCCCCATCTGTCAGAGCAATAATCACACTAGCTGTCCGGAGTCCTGTAGGGGTGAGAGTGAAAATGGCTGGGGTTAGGTATGGATGATACAGAAGCTTTGACAATGGATAAAAAAGTTTAGGCAATGCATCCTTCTTTGCTGACAAATGAATACAGAGCTCTAAGGCTCAGCTGATCTAAAATGACCACAATGGAGTTATGCAATCTACACCAGCTGAAGATCTGACCCAGAACAGCGTGTTATGAGCAAAATCCTACTTGTCTTCATCACACAAGCAGCACCAGGGAATCAGTGCGAGTCAGGAGAGTACTGCTCCAGCAGCACCCATGCACAGACCTCCCTGGAACCTGCTGCCTCATGTCAGCCCTCTTTCCTGCTTGGATCCCACTGAGGATCCTGCAGTGAACCTTGTGGTGGGGTGAGACCAGAGGGAGAGGGGAGGGGGGAATCGCCCCTTGACAAGCATTTCTGAGTGTGGCCATTCCAGAGAAAGGCAGCAGGGATCTGTGGTTCAGGGGGGTTCATTCATAGAAGGGGATGCCAATTCCTGCGCCATGACAGAGCAAGCTGGGGTGATCTCCCTAACGCATCCTGCCATCCCAACGCCTCCTCCTGTAGGTCAGAGGGGAGCAATTCTCCCCCACAAGCTGAGTATAGTGAGCAGGATTTGTGTGAGAACTCCTGCATTCCTTGTGCAAGAATGCTCCCTGAAGTCAGTGGGGATTCCAGGGGTGCAAAGAATGCAGGAACAGGCCACGGGGACAAAATTCACCCATGCGTGGAGATCCAGCACATGGCTGATGCACTCCTTACATCCCACCTAGATCTTCAAAATAGGGTTTAAGGGTTGTGCCGGCTTTGTTCCAGGCGAGTTTTAGCCACAGTGAGTAGCCCAGTATACAGCAGAGCAATATACAGCCAAATATAGCGCTCTAGCAAAATTACTCCCAACTAGTACGTAAATTGTGGCTCAGTCAATTACACACATCTGATGTCACTTCTTAAGTCCAGCAGTTACAATACAAGCATTTGCTTTCTGGGCAGCGGGGGAGACCAGGAATGTTGTTTTTTACAATAATTTCTCTCTGTTTCAAATGTCTTTCCAGTATTACTGGAAATTAAAGAGCCTGATGAGTTTTGACAGGTTTCTTATGCCGTGCAGTCCTTGCCATGTCATGTCATAGGCATACACATGAAGCCTTAAAGGTGACCTGCAGCTGGGAAAAATGGGTCTTGACCTTGCTTTTTTTTTTTAATAGTTGAAGAAGGCTGGAAAGATCGTTGTTGTTATTTTATGTTTTACATTTTTTTTTTCTTCTTGGTATTTTACTTTAGCTATCGTATCGACACTTTTTTTTCCTGGAAAACTAGTAGGTTCATTGACTGAATGAGAGGAGAGGCCATTTTTATGCAGGCTCTTCAGATCTTTGTTTTTCTAAACACCTGCTTAACTCAAATACCAGAGAAACACTTGGGAGAAGGGCACTTTTGTTAAAACCCACCACTAATTCAATTAGGAGCCTAGTGAGCGCCTAACCCATATCTCTGCATCCTCCCAGGAGACCTCCAGCAACATAGGGAAGAAAAGTCTTGACATCCCTGATATAGCCAAGGTAAAAAGCAAGCAGGAAAAATACTTCTTTAAATGTTAAGCCACCTTTATGCACAGAATCAAAAAAGGACAAAAACATATTCCCACACCCCCACGTTAGGTTACTTTTAAGTTCAGAAGGACAGAGAGCCTGATCCCAAGCCCAGTGAAATCAATGGGACATCTCCGACTGAATGCAATGGGTGTCAGGTCGCACTCGCAGCAATGCTGAAGGTCAAATGAGAGTTTTGGGTACATCAGGCAGATAGGACTGGGTGCTTCAAAATGGAATGATACATGTAAAGCCCAATACTTCTACACTGCGTCCAATCAGCTGAACAATTACTAGGCTCACTGCACGGAGTACTGGGTGCAATTCTCCGGCCTGTGTTATGCAGGAAGTCAAGACTAGAAGATCACAGTGGTGCCTTCCGGCCTTAGAATCTATGAATTTGAAAGCAGGGCTTTAATCGAACTGGAATGGAAAGACAGTGTAATACTAGCTCCTCCCCCAACATTTCTTTCTCCCACGGGTTAATTACAGGTCATGCTGACAACCCCATCCTCCCCAGCTTCTCAATGAAAATAAATTATGGCAGTGATAAGTGTCCCTACCTCCATAGTTTTCATGGTAAATCTGTTCATTTGCCTGCAACAAAGAGTAAAAAGTTATTATCTCTTTTTAGGTCCAACAGGGGCAAGAGAAGCAGAAGTTAAGAAGTATAAATCAAAGCGAGAAGGTTCCATAGTGTGTACCCTTTTAAATCCTTCATGCATGAATGTATCTCCTCCAGGCATTTCAGACTGAAGAATCTCAAGCCCCCGTCTTATGGCTTCCCTTGAAAAGAGAAGAATTAAACAAAAAAATCTCATTTTTCTGCTTTGAGACATTCCTGAAACCCAGCAAGACATGCAGCCCCCGAGAGCACTTGATCAGAATAGAACAATGCACCACCACAGACACATGAGTCAAAGGGTCAGGAACCAACAGCATCACTACAACCCAACATTCTGAAAGCTGCCCTGCACCCAATGGCGTATAGAAATGGATCCAAGATATAATGTCATGGCAAACACATTTGAAGGATCCTGTTCTGTGGTTGCAGTGGGGGTATATTGTAATTAGGGATCAGACCAAATTAAAAAGAAAAAACATATAAATTCTGGCAAACTTCAATCAGGGTTGAAATCTTCATTCCGATGGCCCCAATCACTATAAAGTGCAAACCAAAACTCATGATTCAGACAGCCCTCAGGGCTGGTTAAATCTTGAGTTATGGTCTGACCCAAAATAACGATAAGAGGCCAAAGTGTATGAAAATAGCGTCCGAATGTTGTGGGCTTTTCCTAATCTGGCCCAATGAAAAGTGATCAACCCTCTTTCCCCCGATAAACATCTGGAGCACGAACTGTTCCTTATCCTGGGACAGATTCTGATACTGTCACTCATCTTGAATAGCACCTTATTCCATGAAGGGTTCACTCAAAGTCCACTCATGGAAGGTTCCACTCAACATGAGGGTATCAGAATCATAGCTGTTTGTGAATGTACAGCGCCTAGCTCAATAGGGCCCTGATCCTGTCTTGAGGCCACTAATAATAGCAGTGTGGAACAAAGACCCCAAAGGAAGGACCTAGGAAGCCCAAAAGTCAGATGCTGTGGAGAAACATTCATAAACACCCAGAACATTCTCCCCAGCCTTCGTTTGGTGATCCAGCCATTTGGCCAGCACAGTAATAAACAGCGAGGCAGTGTGAGTTTTTGTGGGACAGAGGTGAAATCTGAGGCTCTGAGAAGGGACGTCCCTGGGGCGAGGAGCACATTCTGCCCTTTCAAAGTGTAAGATGAGCTGAAATGGCACTCGGGGAATAGCATATGGCAGGGGAGTTAGATCGGGGAATGTTTTAATGCCAGTTTCCAACATCGCCACAGGGTTAGCATCGACCTTTCACCTTGCAAAGGGCAAATCCACCTGAGCAAGGTAAACACAAGCTAGCTCCGGCCCCTAGACACCCACTTGGGGCCTGATCCGAAGCCCAGTGAAGTCAATGGAAACACTCCAGTAGGCTTCAGGGCCAGGCCCCAGAAGATGCAGAAGAAGGATCTGGGAGGCTGTCTCCGGATGTCGATTAGACTATTCCAATCCCCCTCTCCTCCCTTTAAGAGGTGCTTCAGACTGATGTAGGCACACAGCACTACCAGCACCGGACAAATAGGGAGAGATGGCCAGTGTGACAGATATAGCGGAGAGAGGGAAACAGACTGTGTGAGGGCAAAGTTCAGCCCTAAGTCAATCAACAGAGAGAATTTGGTTGCAAAGGGGGGCAGAAAAAGGGAGTTTGCTGCAGTCTCAGCTTCTCCCCTTTCTCTCACTGGAGCACAGGATGGAATTCTCTTCTGGCTGGCTTTGCAGCAGCATGGCGTTCGAAGCAGATGGTGCGAGTAGGAAGCACTTCTTGCAAAACAATACCCAGACATATCTTTTAGCAGTGGTCCAGGACAATGCAGGATTGATTGCTGAAATGCTTTGGACTGCTCCTGGAGAACACTGCAGCACTTTATCACACAGTGTCTTCTGCACGCGGCGTCAGGGCCTGCTTTCTCCTACCCCAGAACTGCCCTTCTGAAATCAGTGGGGTGGTGCTGGTGAACCTAGAGCGGGCAACTGGCTTCCGGATTGCAAGCGCTAGGCTTGCCTTAGAAATGCAGCTTGATAGAGCGCCGGCGCATTGAGCTATCTGCTTGCCACAAGGCTGCAAATGGGATATCAAAGGGCTGTTCCACATATGGCCTTCAATCCTGCTCCCAATGGAAGCGCCGCAATTGATTCCAATAGGCACAGGAGCGGATCCACACTAAAGACTAACGTTAGACAGTCCTGAGCTCTTGCAGTTGTTAGGAGTCCCTAGCTCTATTGGGCTGAAGGAGGTGAAGTACTTACCTGTCTTCTGTTAGCTTCATGATCGTAGTGCCTCGCGAGGAAAAGACAATGAAGGACATGCGCAGCATTGGACTGAAACAGACAGAACAAATCCACATCACACACAAGATTCTCTCAGCATATTCGGCAGCCTCTAAGAAAGCAGCAGGTGAAACACTATGTATATTGTAACTGAAGTTTCCTCTTGTGAAAACTTTACCTTATAAACTTCTCAGCCAGGCTCTCGACAAAAGAGTAGATCTCTGTCCAGTGGTTTCTGACGCTTCCAGACCTAAATGCAAATTATAACCAGTTAGGCTAATTTCCCCCTGCAGTGGAATTGACTGCAACCTACTGAATATTTAGATGGGATATTCTAAGGCAGTTAGAATCAAATCAATGGGAGTTGGGCAACTAACTCGCTGAAGCTCCTTTGAAAATACCACCTTTCTACAAGTATCAGGGGGTAGCCGTGTTAGTCTGTATCTACAAAAACAACAAGGAGTCTCGTGGCACCTTAAAGACTAACAGATTTATTTGGGCATAAGCTTTCGTG